GCTTCCCTGTAATTGATTGTCAACAACAACAAAGACTTCAAGCAAAGGGAGATGATGACGCATTTTTTCTGGCAAATTACCCTTTAAATGATTATGGCCAAAGTTGACATATGTCAAAGAAGGCATGTTCCACATAAATGAAGGAATTTCTCCTATAAATAAATACAAAATATATGTTAATTACTTGGTAGTATGGCAAGCATGTTCCTCATAAATTCATCCGTACACAAGCATATAAATAATACATGGAATTTTGGTAATTAGAGGGTTAAAATTAATAGAACATAATTTATTTTTTGTTGCACAGTAGTTTTAAATGGACTCTTCCAATATTAATAACCAATTGAATGTTAAATTTCTTTAAAAAGAAGAATTGCTGAAGATCACAGACTAGGGAATTAATCTCCCCTAATCTAAAATGAACATCCAAATTATTTATATTTTGTATTATAGTTATTAAAGTATTTAAAAAGGATCTAACTTTAAGATCTCAGGATGAATTCATCATAAGCAAAAAAGAGCTGAAATTTTAGTTTTTCTCTAAGGAATTAAAATACTTTTAGTTACACATTTTGGAGATAAAGCATAAAATTAAGGATGAAATTTCATGTGCTTCAATGTAAAAGCGAACCAGATACGAGTTATGTATATGTTGACAAGAGAATTGGAAGTATTATAAAATCTTTTCAAATACAAATCTTTTCATCAAATAAAAACAATTATATTGATAGCGAACACATTTATTCTAATGATCCAAAATTATATTTTATTTCTTTTTTTAAAGACATTTTTGCTGGGATTTTTACAGGGCTTCCCCAATTTTTTTTAATGACCCAAAATTATATTTTATTTCTTCTCTTTTCAAGGATTTCTGTTGTGAATGCAAACTTTTTGGTAAGCTTCTCATGATTTTTTAACATGAATGAAAGAAATGAAGAGCAAAATCTCACTTTAGAATTACTTTTCATTAGAAATGAAAAGTATAACAAAAACAAAAACATACAATATGGTCTAAGACAATCATATAATTAAAATTCTTACCTTGCAAATTGTTGTAGATAAGATTAAGCACTTCGAGATTTGCCAAATTTCCAATCTCAATTGGAATGATTCCTGAACAAATTATATATGGTAAAGTCATTTTATTAATCAAAATATATTAATAATGTGGTAGGCTAAGACTAAAAAAAAAAAAATTTCACATTTTAATTATATCAGGTGCTCGCATCAGTCGATGATTTTACCTTTACTTTATTTTGGCATTGTAATATTATTTTCATATAATATATATAAATAAAAAAGAAACTTCAAATTAAATAGATTGACATTTATAATTATTCACAATTGATACTTTATATTTGGTTATTTTAAAGCCGCAAACTTTTCTGTTTTTAGTATTAAACTTATCCTTCCATAAAATTTTTTTCAAATATTACCAACTCTGGCATGTCTAAAAATAAGCCCAGAACTTGCCTTAAATATTAAAAAAAAATTTCAAGTAATACTCAATTCAAAACAGAGGAGTAAAATACAAAAGATTTATTTTTTAATTAATTTTAACTGTTTTAAAACAAAAATTATGAAAATCATAAATTACACTTGAGATGACATGATTAGTATATTGGATAACCATTTATTTATTTTTTGGTTGGTGTTATTTTTTGGTTGGTGAAAATCCTTTAGTTTGAAATTAATGAATTTGAAAAATAAAAAATTACATGAGTTAGCAAATTTACAAATTTTATCACGTTGTTTTATATCTTTATCATCTTAGCTTTTGTCTATTAATTGGATCAAAGCTAAATATTTCTTTAAATGATTGATAATGGAAATTGTATGGGGAATTGCTGCTGAAAATTTGTTCTTTGAAAGTTATAAAACCTTCAAATGCTTTATATTCCTATATCTTTGAAAGTTATAAAACCTTCAAGTGCTTTATATTTCCCGTCTAGTTTCTACATTGGCCCTCATCTCAATTATTGATTCCCTATGTCCAAGTGAGATTTCTCGGTATGTAACAATTACTCCCCTCTTTAAATAAATTTTATCCTCAAAATTTAAAAACATACCTTATCTAATAGTTCTGGGGGTCTAGCCTTCATGTCGTCTTCTTTTCCCACGTGGCCTCTTCTTGAGTTAGATCCCTCCAGATAACTTTAACCATTGGAATAGCCTTATCCCATGGCTGCTTGATCTACCGATCTATCACCCTTACCAGCTTCACTTCGAAGGTAAGGTTATCTCGCAACTCCATATCTTCACATTCTAAGGTATGAAAGGGATCCGGTGGATACTTCTTCAGTTGAGAAACATAGAAGACGTCATAAATTTGACTCAAACTAAGGGGTATGACCAAGCTGTAAGCCTCTGAGCCAACTTTTGATAGGATTTGGAAGGGTCTTAATGAATTTCGGCATCAATTTACAGGCTTTGATCGACCTTCCTACACCCGTAGTTGGAGGTACCTTCAGATAAATGTGGTTTCCAACTTTGAATTTTAGGGGTTTCCATTGTACGTCAGTATAGCTTTTTTGTCCTTTATACGAGCCTAGCTCATCTTCATGACATTACCATGGCAGTGCTTCTGCCTTCATGGCTTTTTACTGTACCATGGTATTTTGGGTTCCTCTAACACTACTTTTATCTATTATTTCCAGCATACCCAATTGTTCCCACCTTTACTTTAAGGGCATGGCTCTTCTGTTTCGTATTCTCGTCTTGTATTTAACTTGCCTGAATATGTATCCTTCAGGACTTACAGCTTATAGTTTCTTTAACTCTTACTTTTCTCACCTTCTTTCAGTGGCTAGAGTAGAATTGAGTACAGCCTATTTAATAATAATGGTGTCTGTGAAAAAGTCAAGGGTACTCTCTCTGTACTAAGTAACCAACCTGAGGAAATTTCCCCATCTTAGACTCATCCTTGGTCATCTTACTCTCATGTTCCAAAGAGATACTATCCTTATAGCTCGGTAACCTTCCTTTAGGCTTGGTCTACTGTGACCTTGAGAGCTACCACGCTGTCCTGTAAGCCTTTTCAGGACCTACCGTGACCCTGGATTCTTTCTCCATTTTGTCCAAACCATGTTCCACTCTTTAGGAGTCTTTAGGCTAGTGGACTAGGTTAGAGAATAAGTTATCTACCCTCAGTTAGTGGCTTAACTTATCATTCCCTAAGACTGATCACAAGTACTAATATCGTCTTTCCAGATCTAACTCAATCCTTCCAGTCATCTCTGAAATCATTCATCTTTCTTGCGTTTTCTTTTTCCCCTTAAGTTTTAGCTACCTCAGGCCATTTTGCTATCACAATGCTCGTGAAATTTTCTAGACCATTAGCTTGTCTCTATGGCCTTCTGGGCTTGATATCATATCCATGCCAATCTGCCATGCCTTATGATTTTCTTTTTTTATCTTGTGGGGAGAGATCTTATAAAATCGTCTCTATCCTCTTCTCATATTTTCCATCCTTTTCTTATTCTTGGCCAGTTTTGTTCCTATTGGGGTAAGGTTAACTCTGTAAATCTTCTTGCCTTTCAGAGAACAGTCCACTCTCGATGGAGTGGCGTCAACTTCATATCAGAGAATCAATCCCTTTTCAGAGAACCACTCGCCCCCAATAAAGCAGCGTCAACCCTGTATTGGAGAACCACTTCATCTTCAGATAACAGCTTGCCCCCAATAGAGTGGCATTGACCCTGTATTGGAGAATCACTTTCTTTTCAAAGAATAGCTTAGTCTTAATAGAACGGTATTAACCACAAGCCGGAGAACCACCTCCCAAATATTTTTTTGAAACACTCTATGGCCAAGACTGGTCGGTTGTTTAGTCTTTGTCCCGACACATTCTTTTCATACTGTATCCCTATTAGGGAACCCTCTCCACCTACTTTACTTAATCACTATGGTAGTGGCATCCATCCAAACTCTTATCTCTTGCATTCTTATTGGCCTGAGTGCTATGATTGCACCTTTCATTGATGCCTTAAGGACATAAAGGGATATTTATTAGTGCCTATCATTACCATGTATCTAAATATTATCAAGCTCTAAGCATTGTCGGGAACTTGCTCATCACTTTCTATATATCAATTCTTAGTGCAACCATCAGCTATTGCATTCTCATCTATTTCCTTTTCATAGTATCCTCAAAAGGGATCTTGCCTGATTCTAATCTTTCAATTTACCTCACCTTCCGGTCAATTATCCTTATGGCCGAATATCGACCACCATCCTTTGATCACATTACACAGCGAATATTCAATCACTACACTGTGTTATTTAGGTCAGGCACTTAACTTAGTGTTAGTTCTTCATTCTGTATCATCTCATCTCTATCCCTTTTGGTCTATCATGCCTGAGGGCTTTTATCCCTATTCGGGGTCCTAATACAATTTCAAGCATCTTATTCTATCATCTTGCCTCTATTTTACTCAGGTCTATTGTGACCCTGTCTTAGGTATTTACCCGTCTTTACCTTTGTCATCCAATTTGGCCTCACTTCAGTGTGAAGACCAAATCCTCTGGTAGGAAGGGTCAATGCTTTCTTCTTACAACCATGGAGTAAATTATGCAAGGATAACCCATTCAACTAAGTATAACATCAATATCGTGGAAAGGCATGCTTATGGGGTTCAGTGTAGTGCAACAAGGAATGTATTATAACGTGCAATTTAAATAACTATCAGAAGTTAAACCTCTAGTGCTCGTAGGAATGAAAATACAAAGATCACATAAAAACAGGTCAATGGTGAGGCCTATGCGTCTAGCATCATCATACGATGTAAAGGAATGATTGACGCCTGAGTCAAACAATGCATGTATGAAGAGATCATTCAGAATAATTGTACCTCAGGGCATCTCAGGCGACTTACTAGTCTCTTCCTTACTGAGGGCAAATACCCTGCCTTAAGTTTATGGTCTCGAACTATCCATATTCTATGGGCACTCTCGTGTGAAATGTCCCGACTTTCCACACTTAAAGCATACGTTTTGACCCATCAAGCATGGCTTATCCTTATGGTCTTAGCACAAATCTCACATTCCCCTCCTTGGCAAATAGGGTCCATTCCTTCTCGTCTTGCTTTTCCTCCTCGTTTAAGTCTTCCTGACAAATCAGGCCTTTTCTGTTTCCTGCTATGGCTGGAGGAAGTCCCTTCCTGACTTGACCTCTCTGCGGGTCTCTCAGCCCTTTGGGTTGCCCTAATTGAATCTTGATGATTCTGGCTATTCTCTGTAATGTGGCAAACCTCCACCGTCTTATTAAATACTTCAAGTTGTCGTGGGGCTACCTTCTCTCTTAGCTCGGGCTTCAACCCCCTAGTCACCTTTTTTGTAGACCAGCACTCATCATTCATGTACTGGAGATAAGTAGAGTACTTGGACAACTTGATGTACCTTGCCAAGTACTCATCAAAAGATTGATTTGCTACTTGTTTAATCATGAGGAATTCGGCTTCCTTCTCATCCCTCACAAATTGGGAAAAGTATTTCAGGAAAAACTGATCTTTAAACACTTATCACGTGATCAGAGTGTCATTAGCTTAGAGGACCAGCTAATATATCGTCATCTGAGCCTTCCTCTTAAATGGACACTCTAGTATAGCAAAGATCTTTTATAGCCGAGTTATCCAGTCTTCGGCTACTTGCATATCAAAGGTCCCCTCAAAAGCAGGAGGATTATGTTTGCCAAACTAAATAATCTATTGCTGTAGTGTATCAAGCTCTGCAGCAGGTTAGGGCCTCACATGAGCTATTCCTGATAGTTCCGTGGTGGTTATGGTGTAGGTTGGGCAGTCCCGGCTATACCTTGTCTGGGTTGTTGTAATTGTGCTAGTGCTGCTGCTACTGTCGTAGCTATAGCATCATCTCTCTCCTACTCTTGCCTAGCCTAAGTGGCTTGTATCTTAGCCATGTTCCTCTATTGTTCCTCTGGTCTCTCCATAATCCTTTCCATTGGATCAACCAGGGGTCTTGATGATTCTCCCCTTCCTCTTGATCCTCATCTTATTCTCACCATTTTGTTGTTTTTGTCTTAACTATAAGAGGAACAAAATTATTAATTTACATAAACATTACTTTATATTACCTTTCTATTCACATATCCACATATATGGCACAGTCAGCAAAACAGTGTTCAAGTATCAGTGCAACCCGTCACAACCATCTAACATATTATACATTCATCCATATTCACAACGTAGTGTTAGGAAAGGGAAATGTAATGAGAATAAAGATCTTCAAGTCATCAAGTAGCTGATGGAAGGTATGTGATATGGAGCAGCTACAAATCTTTTGAATCTCATCTAGCCTTACTCTGGTTCTTGGTAAAGCATCCATCAGTGCTCGGCTCCAGAGAGCATCATTAGTATTTGGATCCTCCTCAATTACTTGATTGTATAATTGTCTCACATAAAGGAGAAAATCCAAATAAGTAATATCATATTGGTTCTGGGTTCGGTCTATGTACCTTCCCAATTTCCTTAGCTCTGTGAGGATGCTATCATAGTCTTTGAATTCTTTCTTTACTAATAAAGATCTTTTCTGGATAGGTATGTTCTTAACCTTGTCCTATTCTGGTCTTACCATCCTAATTGGTATTGCCCTGATTGCATTGTGGCCCGCTTCATCTGGACTAGGTTTAGGCCTCACAGTACTGATAGGCACTACTTTAAAAGCACTGGGGCCTGCCTCCTTTGGATGCGGCCTCGGTTTGGTAGCATTTTGTGCATCACCCTCCTCAAGCTTTATAATATCATTCGAGTCTTCCTCAGAGTAGATATCCTCTATTTCACTGAGGAGCTGTTAGTATCCTGTTGGTAGAGTTGGGTCATCAGGGTCTGAGTTACGCGGGTGGAACCACTCTGTGTACAGCTCCCCTAGCACTCTTTGGTTCACCGTTTCCCCGGAATCATCGCTATAGCAGGCCATACTTTTTCTGTACTCTATTCAACTTATAACATACACAATCCACCACAAGGTATAATCCCACCCAGTAACATCCAATCAAGCAGCCACATTTCATAATTATTACTAACATTCAATCACCATTCATCACTGTAGTTAACAATCAATCACAATTCACAATCCTTAATAAAGAATTAACCACTTATCACAGCACAGATCAGGCGACACATCGCAACTTGGACAGAGCTAGAACCTTTGCTCTGATACCAACAAGTGTAACACATCCTTTAATATCCCATTATACATCAATTGGAACCATTATAACGTGTTGCGTAGCGTTGCCGGATGAAAAATTTCGACTTCAAAATTTTACCTTTAATTTTGTCCGTACACTGTTCATCCGAATTTAAGCCAAATATGAAAATTCATAACTAAATCTAGAAAAATCAAAACAAAGTGGTTCCAATTTTCATGGGAAGCTTGCTAAGAGTTCTATAGAGAAAAATATTCATTGGACTCAATTCCATCTAGAACAGCACTAGAAAATTCAAAAAAATATACTGTTTATATGGTCAATTTTTAAATTTCTGGGATTTCAGCCCAACTTTGGAAGGGCATAACTCTTAGCACAAAAATTCAAATTTGATGATTTATCACTTAGCTTGATTTAAATTTAAAAATGAGATCTATTGGCCTGCAAAATCTCAGGTCCAAATTTCATCATTTGCTTATTATTTTATGTGTCGCCATTTTGCCCCTAATTTAGGCAATTTTATCCCCTAATTACTTCTTTCATGAATTTTATGTTCCTTTTTTCTTTTCCATACCCTTTATGCATTCTACCACTCAATATTTCAACACTCGTACATGTCATACCAATATGAGTTACAACATATTACCATCCATAATCCATTACAAACTTGGTATAAAGTTTAGTAACACATCACATGACAATCCAAAATAACATAATGATCATCAAGCTTCTTTATCTCAATACCAACTCCATGCCTTGATCCATGGACGATCCACTTTCTAAATGATAAATAAATTGACATAGGGTGAATGAGATTTCATAGAAATCTCAGTAGCATTTGAATTACAATTATCATGCAAATCAAGCAAGTTACAATGTGACATGTTATAGAACTTCAAGATATCCTCAAGTCACATGAAATCATATCCAACAATATGCTAGGAAAGAAACATTAACACTTCCACACTAACGCAATTCAATGCATTTGGCCAAAGCATAAATCAAGGATATCCAACCAACCAAGATCACAACACAAGTTCCCCAATCCAAGTAAACAACGTATCACATTAAACAAGCAAGATAAACAATCAAATTATAATTCAAAGCTACCTTTTTAACACTTGTCTACTAGGTTACTTCAAGGAACAAAGCTTCTCCTTCATTCCTCCTCACAATGCCTATTAAACCAAGTATAAACATAGGCCACATTAATCACTAAACAACTTAAACTCAATCCTTAAACTTTAACTTAACAATTTCCTTCTTTTTCTTTGATTTTTAATAAAATGATTCCTCCTTTAGAATCAATAACCTCATGAGTCATTCCTATATAATTTTTCATGAGGAATCCAAATATGTAATTAGATTTTTTTAAATTCACACTCCTTCCCTATGAACTTGGTTTGGCCGAATAGGGGGTTATAACTTCCAAAAATTTCATTTTTGATTGCAATGATTTTAAACACTTCCCAACCATATATCCCTACACAAAAACATGTTTTAAAGCCATTGAAATCATCAAATCAAGCCAAAACAACTTGCTTCTGCTTGAATAGTGCTTGGCTGAACTCCCCCCTAAAACCCTAACTTTGATTTTGTTCCAAAAATCAATCCATACACCATTTAATCTTGCTTATTCCACTTGGTTATTAAGGTTTCTATCCTTCCCTAAGTATCATATGGCTGGACCAAAATTTACAGTATTTTCCCATGATTTTTCCAAGCCAAAATCCTAATCCAATTAATGTAAAACTTAGGAATAATGATGCTTAGACATACCTTAATGTTTCTTGGTGTAAGTTGAATGATTCCTTGTCTAAAACACTTGAAATTTTCAAACAAATATGGCTGGAGCTACAGTGACAGAGTCTCCCCTTGTTTTTTCAATTTTCCATCATTTATTTGTATTTTTTGGAGGGGATATTTATAGACCAATTAAGCTGCCTCCCCCTCTGGTTTTTGGATGACCAAATGGCAGAAAAATGGGGTGAGTTGGCAGCCATCAAGTGCAAGGGAAGTTCAGATTTAAACAAGTGTCCAATCTCTAGATTTTTCCACACAATTATCCCTTAATTTTGTATTTTATTTAATAAAAATATAGGGACCTAGAAGCTGCACGAAATTGGGCCCTTAATGGGCTCAATGTGGGCCCCACAAATGACTTGGGCTAGTCCAAAAAGATAGCCCACAAACCAAATCACTATTTCAAACCAATTTGAAACTTTATCCGTTACTATTCACTAGTAACATTTTATAATTTTTTGAGACCTCCAAAAATTTATTTCTCTTCATGATAATTCACATTTTAATATGAGAATATGATTTGAAAATTTTCAGAATTTTTTACCATCTCTATGTATTTATTTTAAATTTTCTCTTATTAGGCCTCTATCGGTGTCACTGCGGGAAAATAAATTCCCTAAAATTAATTCCTGAGCTTCCAAGGCCTAGAACTAATTTTATAAATTCAAGAAAATATTTATATGATTTTTATATAATTTTTTCATAATTATTGAGGCCTTTAATTAATTAAAATAATTATTTTCCTCTGATTTTCCAATATTTTTCCAAAAAACCTCAGTTTGCGGAAAATTCTGTAGCAATTTGTTTTTATGATAATTCCACCTTTCAAGCCTCAACTAATTTTTTAAAACCTCTAGTTTATAATTTTCTCATTTTTTAGAAATTTTTTAGAATTTTTCTCCAAATTTTCCATTTTGCCCTTTTTAAACCGATAATTACGAAAATGCCAACCCGGACTTCGTCTCCCAGTCTAGTTTCTACATTGGCCCTTATCCCAATTTTTGATTCCCTATGTCCAAGTGAGATTTCTCTGGATGTGACATTCAGTCCTAGTTAACCATCGAGCTAGTGTCAATCTAAGGGTATCATTTAAAGCAAGATCATCTGTACTGGAAAGATAGATTAGTGGTTCCTTGGGATCAACCCAACTTAATCACCAAGCTTCTGAATTATTTCTATTCTTCCATTATTATGGGACATTGTGGTTTCCTGCGTACTTTCCACCGAGTGGCTTGTCTATTTTTTTGGCCATTTATGCGACATGATATCAGGGATTATATTAGGCATTATGTGGTGTACCCAAAAGCCAAGTCCTCACAATTTTACCTGGCCCGATTACTTAAACCGTTACCCATTCTAGACAAAATTTAGGAGTACACTGTAATGGATTTCATCACGGTATTGCCCGTTATTAAGGGACCTAATGTGATAATGGTGGTTGTTGATCGATTATCCAAATATGGCCACTTCATTTTGGTACCTGCAAATTTCAATGCCCCATGGGTAGCAGAGGCATTTCTAAAACATGCGGTTAGGTTGCATGGAATGCCTAAAAGCATTGTCTCGAATGGGGACAAAGTGTTTACTAGTGTCTTTTAGTGTCATCTGATGCGATTACAACAAATGCAACTCTACTTTAGTTCGGCCTACCACCCATAATCAACGGCTAGTTAGAGGCCCTGAATAAATGTCTTGAACAATACCTGTGATATTTTGTGTTTGATTATCCATGTTAGTGGTTGCTCTTCTTACTATAGGTAGAATTTTGGTACAATATAGCCTACCATTCAGCAATTGGTATGACTCTTTTCAAAGTAGTTTATGGATGAGATCCACCACTAAGGCTATCGCACTCTTTCCTAGAAGATACTCTATTTGACATTCACCATCAACTCAAATAAAGAGATGTGATGCTATTGATTTTGAAAGCAAATCTCCTCAAAGCATAAGAGAGGATGAAATATTTTGCTGATATGAAGAGAGTTGACAAAGAATATAAAGTGGGAGAGTGGGATGGGTACTCGTGAAATTGCAGGTCTATCGACAGCACTATGTGCAATTGAGGAAGTTTTAGAAACTGGCTTTGCGTTACTTTGGACCCTTCCAAATTGAAGAATGAGTGGGTTCAGTGGTATATAATTTGCAATTGCCTTAATCAGCACATAGTCACTCGATGTTTTATGTGTCCTGTTTGAAGACTTTCCTATGTGATCAAACTGGGGTCCCCTACTTGTTATTGCCCCTTCATACGTTACCAGAGGCTCCCATAAATAAGCCTTAAGCAGTGGAAGATTTTCGTGTCATTCAGAACAGTACAAAACATATCGAGCAATGTTAATCTGTTGGGCAAGCTCTAATATCTGCACTTAGGAGACTATTGTTGACATGTGTGCACATTATCCTCTATTCAACCTTGAGGACAAAGTTATTTCTAAAGGAGGGGGTAATGTTATGAGCCCAGTAACCAAGGATGACCTAAGCCTAATAGAAGAAGCAAGACAAGTGAGGCGCAGTGCGAGGGTGAAAAGGAAAATGTGGAAATTAAGGGAAATTGAGGAAGCGAACACAATATAATGAGACAAAAGTGGTTAGAGGAGGGTGTGAAATTTTTAGTGACCCCCTCTTCTCTTTGATTGATTCTCTCTCTCTCTCTCTCTCTCTCTGTGTCTCTGTGGCATTCTTTCTTCTTTGGTAGTGTTCTACTATTGTGTTTGTTCTTCGTTCCTATTTGTAACTCTATGATTTTACCAGAATTATCAACTGAATATGCAGAGTATATCCCATTTTATTGTCTGGTGGCTCCCTCGCATTTCATTTTATTATCTGCTGATTCTTTTGCACTAGAGCAAACATCAACACACACACACACACACACACACACATCCTCCACTCACACATATTGCCAGACATCCTCTCCCACAGTAGTTACCAAAGAGCAGTGTCGAAAAAGCCACTCCCACTCACGAAG